AATTACACTGTATATATAGGTAAAATATTAGATTTTAATGGTATATAACATATATTGAATACCTTTTATCTGAATTTTTTTTACTTATTTCAAGTTTGAACATCCTAAATGAAATTTTTGGCTTCGCCACTGCTTAAATGTCATTGCATCCGTTGTCCTACATCTTGAGGGAGAAGCATGCGTTTCAAAAAGATTTACATTATTTTTTTATTAGTCCGTTTAAAAAAGATTATCGTATTTCTATATTTCCTTAATGGGAAGCTTTCATAACCACACAAATGTTATGACTTGTTTAAGACCACATGTTTTATAAGTTCATAGTCGGGCAAATGTTATGGTATATATATTTAAGATCACAAGTTTTAAAAGACTTCAGCTCCTTATTAAACTTTGTGTCAATTCAAATTAAGACAAATAAATTGAAACAAAAGAAGTCTTTCTTTGTCAAATTATGCTTAATTTCATATGTGATAATTCCGTCGTGATCTCTTAGTTAATTAGGAAAAGAATTTAACTTTTTGAGGAACGTATTGAGCGAGAAAATTTGATTAGACAATGTATAGTTGGTAAACAATTACTTTATTCTAGAACATATAATTTATTGATTGACATGATGAATTTGCAGGACTTCCTGAACATGTATTTCAAGAACATATACAAACCAATACCTCTAGATTACAATCTTGTTCTAGCAATGTTATGGCGTCATCCGGAGAACGTTAAACTGGCTGAAGTGAAAGTTGTACATTATTGTGCAGCGGTACGTATATCCTATACTTTACTTGCAATATCTACATGCAATCATTATTTTCTCATACTACATTAATTTAATTTGGCACGTTAATAAAAGAAAATAATTTAGTCACCCCTCATGTGACAGACGTTTTACTTTTTAGTATGTTTAGAAAAAGATAATATATTTAGCAATAATTTACTTTATTTTTTTTATTTTAACCTTGATCACATAATTATATAGTCAAAACATCTTTTACATAAAATGAAACAGAGGGAGTAGTTGATATTGTCAATTTACATGTGCATTTATGATGATCTTAAAGGGATCAAAGCCATGGAGGTACACAGGCAAGGAAGACAACATGCAAAGAGATGACATAAAAATGCTGGTGAAGAAATGGTGGGACATTTACGAGGATAAGTCGTTGGACTACAAGAAACCGGTGGCCCTAAATCAAGGATCGGATTCAGAACCCATAAACTTGCAGCCGTTGATTGCAGCTGCTATGTCTGAGGCTGGCGCAGTGCACTGTTTCATTGCGCCATCCGCTGCATAATTTTGACATTAGGCGAATGGCTTCGGCTAACCCTAACACCCCACGAATCCCACAAAATTAATGTATATTGCACCAAATTAGATCGAACAAAACACCAAAGGAACCTTGATTAAAAGAAGAAAATATAAATGAGAATTTCGGAATGGTAAATTAAAGTTCCTAAATTTTATCTTAAGAGGTAAAAATTAGGATAGATTGCAGAGAGAGAATGTGAATGTCGCAGTAATGTAAAAGATATCTGTTCTCTTGAATGAAGAATATATATTATGGAATCTATATTAGAATTGAAAAGGAAATGTTTTGATTTAATTTCGTTTTTGTTTTGTGTGTTCAATGATTTTGTTTAGGAAGAATTCTTGTTAGTACCGTTGTGAAAAATTTGTTCTTGTGGTTTAGGGCTATATTCAATTTATAAAGATAAAGTAGTTGGTTTACATATAGTAATAAATAGTTTTGCTTCTTGGTCAAACAGATTACTAGAAAAAGAAATTAACATGAAATGGCGTATAGAGAATGTTGATAAGACATATTTTGGAGAGAGAGAGAGTCAGAAAGAGAAAGTTCACAACCAAGAAAACATACAACAAACTATTAAAACACGAAAAAAAAA